AGGATTAAGAGGTGTGTTCTCTTGAATGTGATTGTACCTAAGCTAGAGTATGCAGGAGAGGTATGGGCAGGTAACGAAAAGGCCGTCAAGCAGCTGGAAACGGTGCAGATGGCAGCGGCCAAGAAAATCCTAGGATGTTCAAGTACAACGAGCAACACTGTATTGAGAGCAGAACTGTGAATGAATGTACTCTCTCAAAACAAAGAGAGACATGCAAAAGTTGAATTGGCAGTACAGGGTAAGTAGAATGTCGGACGATAGACTACCAGCCATGGTTGACAAGGCAGCTTGGGGAAAAGCGACTCCAGGGAAGAAAGGAATCAGATGGGACAAGGTGGTAGAGAGGGTTTGGAAGGAGATAGGAGACGAGGAGGAGACATTGGACACGGAAGGGTTCGGGGGGTTCAAGAAGAAAGTCAAGGAGATGCTAGAAAGTAGGGAGGAGGCAACCCTTCGGAAGAAGGTACGAAGCGAAGACCACTTGGAGATATACGGGAAGTTGAAAGAAGGGATAGGGATGAAGATTTACTTGGACGGCCCCATGGACTACGCAAAAAAACTGAAGTTGCAATTTCGAGTAGGCGATCTGGACTTGCCAGAACGGAGGAAGAGGTACAGCAGCCGTAGGAGAGAGGAAGAGGAGGATAGACAGACATGTCCATGTGGCAAATCGGAGGAGAGTAGACCCCACTATTCCACCTCCCGATCTAGTAGTTTATTCAGCACAGCAGCGTCTTTCGTGCGGATCCTTGGTCGGCTTCCAGCTCCTTCGCGCTCGGTCACTCCATCATACTACACTCTCTTATTATCCTTACGTCCTTGCTCCCTTTTGCGAAACAGGGCCAGGCATCGACGCAGAGTACGTTCCGCAATCCATCGTCGACAATGGCTCTACTTCTTACGTCACAAGTTCAGTTTTTAGCAACGCTGTCGTTAGTGGACAATACGGGAGCGGAGGATTCTGCTCTCTCTGCGTTTGCCAACGTCCTCAGGTCAGCAAGACTATTAATTAGGCTCATGGGACGGTTGGGCCGAGTGGGCCACTTCAATCTGTAGAGGAGCACGTGCAACGATCACGTTCTTCTACATTGATATATAGTTTCAGAAAGACGACGCGCTGAAAACACCATTTGGCCTACCATCGAGCACTTTGTGTGGACGCACGCAACAACGTATCTGAATTGCGCACTCTGTATTGCTACGCATCTATTCCGCTCGGCATTGTCAAGGTGGGTAAACTTGTGGCCAAGCGAAAGCTTCTCGGAGGGTGTTGCATCACGGATCTTTCCGAGCGAACCCGACAAAATCAATGGAGACGATGATGGTGACGATGATGGTGACGATGATGGTGACGATGACACAACGAAACGAGGAATATCCGTGTCATTTACCCACGACCTCGGCTCTCTGTTGTTCATGGGAAATCTTGCGCTTTTTGCCGCGCTTCTGGCGATCATATTTTCCTTGCACATCTTGGTGGCGTCGGCAATTGAAGCGCGCTGGCTGGCAAAGGTGAGAAATGACCCTACATTGAGTTGTTGGTTGGTATCGCGAGCCGTTCCCCAGGGGAAAGCATGCATACGTTCAACAATAAGCATGGCAGCTGTTTTCGGCGTGCAGATTGTGACTATCGCGAAACCAAATGATGGTGGCATGGGTAATGAGCGTAGAGCTACACAGAGTTGCAACGGGCAACGTATGTTACTTACGCACCCCCCAACCAACAAACTGCCCTCTTGCCTCTGTTTCGTGCTTTACAAGCAACGGGCGAGTAGGGAGGCTTCACGAGCCCTGGGCCATGGCCTTTTTTCAGGCGAGCTGTCCACGGCCATCTTGGACACACGCTTCCAGCAGCCGAGTTTGGATGGGGGCTCCTCAGCAGGGAGTCAGTCGCCAGATACCGTTCGGTCGCACTCATTGAGAGGACCATCTACGCCATTTCGGGGCAGCAGCGACTCGGGGGATTTGGAGAGCAATGAAGAAGAAGGCGGACGAACGAACGCGCGTCAGAGGAAATCGATGGGCCAAGTGTTAGAGTGTCGAGAACTGTCGCAGTCACCGTGGCTCCATTACCCGCACCTGGAACTCGTCTTTCTTTTCTTCGCCTTCGAGGGTGCAGTGACCTCACAGGTCTCAGCCTTGCGAAGTACAAGTTCTTCGAAGCTTTATTACGCGGCCTTGGTGACGCTGGTGAGAGCATGTGAAGCGGGGGCAGTACGTAGTAAATCTTTGCGCGTTATACCGGGTGCTGTAAACAGACTTCAGGGGAGAACGTCTGTCGGAAACAAGCAACGCGGTGAGATGCCCTTTGACGGGGGGTGGAAAAGGGTCTCAGGTTTCAAGAGCTGTCACGTAAATGCACCCACACCCGGAGGAGGTTATAGTGTAGCGCTCGCTGTGATGGGGGCTAGGCACACCATTCGACGACTCTCCGCACACGCCTAACCTTGTACATGTATGTCCCGACAGATATCGCGCCGGGTAGATAGGGAGAAGTCGTCAACACCAGTGGTTCACAACGAATCAAATACCGGAGTAGGTTCATGCAATCGATACTCTCATCGACATTGATTGACATCGTCTACGCTGCGCTCCCTAGCCTATAGACGCCGCCCCATCACCCCCTGGGTCCTGGGGTCCTGATATTTTGTGTTTTGTGTCTACTTCAGACTGTGGGGCCTGTCATTTGTATGATTGTTTTACGTTGTGTCGTGCTTTAGAGCTTCCATGTAGTCACGCGAGAGCTTGTCCTAATCAACTTCCATGGCTGTTTGGTCCTTTCTTGGTGAACGACTGCGCCAACAGGTGCTCTACCCAGTGCTGATGTTTGCAATGGTCGCGCGAACTCACAGGTAAGATGCTTCCCTCTATCCCAAAACTGGTCACGTGTAGACAGCGTAGAGGCCATCCGCAACCTCCGATCTTCTCGAATTGCTCTGAGAACTGACGAGTTTTCCTGTGGGTGTATTCTAGTCGCAGTAATTTCCGAGTGGTTGTTTCTGCCGCCCTCCAACCAGGTGTACTCAACAAATGGAAATCCCGCGGAAGGTTCATGTGCTGTTTGGGTGACGCGTTTTGCGTAAGAAGGCCTTGAACATCTTTGATGAGCATCGACCGCTCTCATAGGTTTGTTGTGTGTCAATTTCCTACTTTTTGCCTATCAAATTGTTGCCCCTTCATGTCGTATCTTCTGTCTGTATTGTACGTGGCAGGGTGAGGGTTCGATCAGATGCCCTCATTGTGTTCGTGTCCAATGAAAACCGCGTAACCTGGATGGGAAGAAAAGAGTTTTTCTCTAAACTCCTCGCTGGTTCGAGAAAAGATTTCAGCTTATTTGCTTGGGCAGACAAAGGACAGTGGGAGACAGTTCAAACGTCGGACGTGAATGCAAGACGTGATGCTGATTGGTTCCGGATCGGGTTCGAGCCGCTGTTTGCCGACTTCACCCAAGCTGGATCGTGGTTCATTCTCTACACATTGATGGAGGTACGTCGTGGTTCAAGAGTAGTCTTTCCTCCACTCGATTCCTAACCCCAACTCACTCACCCTTCGTCGATAGAGTGAGTAACTGGCAAGAGTTGAGGCTATCTCCGCCAGCGGTAGGGGGTACGTTTGATGAGGCGGCCAGTGATTGCACTGTCTTAGTTTCTACGAATGAGGCTCATGCTAAATCACGCCGCTATCGTGACGTACAGTAGCTTCTGTTTCACGTTCGAGCGCGTCGCCCAGTGCTTGACACCTTTTGACATTCTTATCAAGTTTCATTGCAAGTTGCATCCAACTTCCATTCCCGTCGGTCGAAGCTGATAATTCTTGATAAGAAGAGGGCATGCCGTAGCCCGGTATTGAAATCAAAGTTGATCAACTTGGTCAGTTTCGACCAAAGCTCGGCGACAATAAACTGGGCTGGTGTCTCCAGTTTTGATGGAAATTCCATGATAACTTTTGCCCAGCTTTGATCCTGATCTTGGCAACGAATTTTCGTCGAAGTTGAGTGTGTTTCTGTCGCATGGAAACATACGGAGTTGTGTAGATATATCGCGTTGTGCTTGTTCTTTTTTCTATTTTGTTCACAGTAATGCATAACTCGCCGACGGAGCTAGCCTAGTCGTTGCCGACCAGTGTACTTTACAGAATTCGTGCGCATTCCCCATTCCACGAAATATCGACAGCGTTGAACCCATATCACCCTAGCGAGTGTTGATCGGTATGCAAGTTGGAACGAGTTCTTTTCCGAATGGCAGAAAGCGATCGATTATCGTGACTTCATAGAACGCTGATGCAAATTCGATCAGGTACATGTGGGTTCCTGCTGTGCGAAAATCCAACACAAAATCTAACCGTTGAATACCGCTCTGAATTTGTGCAGCTTTTTTCAGGTGTCAACAAACGTGCGGTATCGGAGACAGCGTCATGTTCTGTGATGTCGTAGCTGACACTGTTTGCATGTGTTGGGAACGATGAGTGACAACGTTGATCAATGCTAGCCACAGTTTCGGTCAGATATTATCCTATTCTCAAAACAGCCTTGATCACATTTGGATGCAAGGTTCTATGGTATTCGTCATCCCAATTGTCATCGCAGATCATGGTTGATCATACGTCGTTTTCCAACACATTTCATGTTTATTTCAACAACTTCCATCACGTTGTGTAAAGTTCATGGCAGTCGAATCAAAATGCATCGAAGCCGAAAAAGTTCGACAGAGTGGATCGCGTTTCCGTCACACTCCCATCGCACTAGCGTCAACACTCGTCGAAGTCTCATTGCGATTTGCATGGACATTGTAAAACGCGCACCGACATTCATCAATGTCCGGCAAATATGATGATCAACCTTGATCCCAGTTCCATGCGATTTCAATGAAAATATCAAGTATTTTTGTATACCTCTCGCTTTACCCGAATTGGAATGGATTATGCCGACTCAAAGCGTCAGCCCTTTAGCAGGCGCTTAACGCTCCTCATAGCCGTATATCTCCCCACTGTGCGCCCTGCCCGAAGGCCTGGTCAAACTAGCCTCCACATCTCGTGTAAGATAAAGCAGCATGGGTAGCTATTTGTCATTGGCGCGTCGGCATATCTATTTCTAACGGGTCCGTGAACAGTATGCCACTGCTTGCTTCTGGGACGCGCACGCAGGAGCTTCATCGTTACGCTTACCGTGAATCCGTGAAACGCGTCCTTGACCCCGAACGTTGCGAGCACTGGTCCTATTTCTACCATTGATGAGATACGTTGACGTTGACCATGTCTTCGGTCTCCCCCGGGTGGCAAGTCACCAAACTCCGGAAGGATAGCCTTGCTACAAGTGCCAAATAGTACGATCACTTTCGCCGGAGTGCTCACGTGCAGGCGGGGGAACTTTGAGGTCTCTTTGATGAAGGTATTTTCTCTGACCTTTTACAATGCGCACCAGGACGCCCCGCCTCCATGTATAGTTCTTCGCGGCGTCAGCGAGAAATATACTCTTCCAGCCTGATCATCGTGTCGCGCGATCGAGCGTCGAAGATTCAGTTACAGTTGGTTGATTTGGATCCGATCAACCTGAACGTGTTTTTCATGGATAATCTGGGTCATGCTAACTGTTGTGTTGTCGTGTTCTTTCCCATGTCGTCTTGCAAAGTGGGCGTTCTTTGCGATCGTTGGCGTGCTGGTGGACAACAGTGCGGTTCAACTCGGGTTGTTCTGTGCCATGCATTCGTCGACCTTCATCCTGCTCGTGGTTTTCAAGCCCTTCGCAAACAGGTGTGTGGATGTCGCCCAGAACCGCAGTAGCCACACATTTGCCTACGACGAGCTACCTACAACTGTGAACCACGAAAAAAAATATTTTCTACTTTCGATCGTAGTATCGTCTTGAGCATGTAGCTTGAGGCCTTTGTAGCGGAAAGGATATCGCAAATATGAACTTTCCTGGATCGTTTGAGCAAGAATCGACTGATCAACATTGGTTTTGATACACGCAACACCACGTCGTGCACAGGGGCTTGGTCAGCGCTACGTCCACCGAAAGCTTGGACCATTCAATGTCAATGCATTGGGAACCGGACAATTTGGTGCCCTTTACCAATGGGGAAAAATCCGAAATGATGACCCTTGTCATGTCTAGGATGTCGACTATGCCCAATGAAACGCTGTTTTTTTGCATTCTCGGCATTCTTGGGACTGTTCTGCCAGAGTTGATGGTCGGGCGGGTAAGTAACGCGATTCATACACACATACACACAGGATACCATCACGACCCGCTCTCTTTCTGCACAGAAATCTAAGAAAACAAAACTCACGACGCCATCAACCACCTTTCAGAGTCGCGATGGTCGTGGCAATAACCTCACACAATCGTTTTCTAATCTTTTGGTAC